ACCGCTCGTACACTTTAGACATGACAAAAAATAAAGAATTTTTAGAAGGACCATCATCTGTATTTTCAGTAGATTTTGAGTTCATGCTCCCTGGAATATCTAGAACATGATCAGATTGCAGGTTAATAGTGGTAAATATTCACAATACACCCACGCTACAAATATAGAAATTTCGCATGATTAGATCCAGTAGGAAAGGAGTTACGACTGAAAAGTGAAACTGAAGAACCATTTCACCGAAGACTTTTGAGCGCTACTGTATGTATTTGTATCCTTTAAAAAAGCCATTCGTAATCCGGAATAGTAGCAGTTCAAGCTGCTAAAGCTTCGAGCGGAATCGAGTTTTGTACGTCCAGATGATTACTGCTCGCATAGCCCCGACAGTTTTTGACAACCAAGTGGCAGCATTAATTTCCCTATACAAATGTATAGGGTGGAGGTGTTGTTGGAGGTGGCAAGTGGGGCACTAACTCACACGCACTATCAGGGGTTCGAATCCAGGATCGATACCCGCCCAGGCTAATCAGACTTTCCATCCTTCCGGGGTCGGTTAATTGGTACCAGACTCGTCTGGAAGGGTGAAAGCGCTGACTTGTGAATAGGCCGGCCACCGCAACTCAATTTATAGGCCACATACGCACTTATTACGCCACTACGATTCTGAATGGAAGTCGAGTGCGGGGGCGCATCCCCTATCCTGGATTGATTTACGCCAAAACCTTCATCCTTTATCCTTTATGCAGATATATTTATGTTCAGATTGGTTGCATTGGTTTCTGCTTTGGTGGTCTCACCTGTCTGGATTTGGCTAGATTCGACGTCGGTCTCAAGGCTGCAGTCTCTTTTCACGGGACCTTAACTGACTACCCGGGAAACAACACGCGAGTGTTCCCAGATTATAACCGATTCTATACATTTAGAGCAGTTTTAGTTGGTTCTTGCAGGTCTATCGGAGCGTCTATTCAAGCTCATCACGGCGACATCGATCCGCATACAACCAATGCCGATGTAAGATCGCTGGATATGAAAAATATAGCCATCAGCAAATTTGGGTTGAGATTAGAAATCGTAATGTTATGGTGTCATGACTACGGCCCTTATGCAGGCAATTCACTAACTCAAGTCCTTGCACCCCTACAAGGTGTTGACATCGCACCAGAAGGAGACCGTCTTGAGAAAGAACGAAACATCCATTCAGTGGGTATAAACGACAAAAGACAAGATTTGTGACTAAAGTCCGTAGAACTAGTTTGTAGCCAATGAAACGGTATCGAAGAAGCTGGCTCTGTCCCATACTGCTAATGATAAGCCAGAGCAAGCTGCCAATGAAAAAGTGAGATGTAGTAGTGAAGAATGAGACTTTCATGAGCGTGACTGAGAAATTCTGTTTTATATGGGATTTTGTCAAAGTAAAAGGAAAAGCCCCATCCTGCCTTCAGTTGCGAATCATTTCATGTTGCCGTGCAAGAATAATTGAGCTAAAGTCTAGTTTAGATCAATCAAGATGTAGGTGATTGACAAAATGCTATATATCTATACTATTCAATCCTCGAAGTTACTTCTATTAATTATAAAATTTTCAAGGCTGAGTCGTTCAAAGAAGAAATGCGAGCCAGAAATGCGGATTGGTTCTTCACTTCGTACTCGGATGCTATGCATGCCTTCACCTTGCCAGGTCAGCCCAAAAACGATTTTAGGGCACAAGGTTGAGGGGCGAACCACAATGGCTAAAGGCCAGCGAAGCGCCTATGAGTTGCAACAATCCATAGAAGTGTTCACTAGTTTCTTTGTTTAGGGCACAGTTCACGATAACTTTTTAAGACCTAGTTCAAGTGAAATAATAAAAATTATGTTGCAGAATAATGCAAAGGTGTTGAGAAGGCGCAAAAATCGGTGGGTTTTGAGTGAAGAAGGCTTCGAAAGTTAGGAAGAAAGCTGGTTATACGAGATTATGGTCGCAGAAAAGGCATGCTAGGGGTATTTGGACGAAGGGAACGTGTGATGAAGCATTCTTACGGTGGTGCCCTTGTAGGCTCTCGGCAAAAGAATGAATCGTAATCGCAATGGGTATCGCAATGGGTCGCGGGTCGCGACTGCGGCATAGCTCTGTCACATCGACAATGGAGTCGCAACACACCTCTGGGCGAACCGTCATCTAGGGCGAATGCAATAGGAGCTGATCGCATGAACGATAGTGTCAAAAATTTCCTTCCACAGTTCGCACTCATGGTACAGGCGTCATAACGCCAACACTTGGCGGGAATGGGTACATTCGTGCGATTCGGACCGCGCGCGGCAAATGGTGCGGCAAAGTTTGTGACGATTCAAACGGCTCTGGCGCCTAGTATTGGAGCACAAATTTTAAGTAGAATAGTTGGGTATGGTCAGCTGATCCTACTAATCTACTCTACCTAAAGTTCGTCCCTCAATAATAAGCGTCAGAATACGAATCGCCACGAATGCCGCCGCGCAATTGGCCGCGCGCAGTCCGAATCGCACGAATGTTCCGTTCCCCACACTTGGCCGTCATTTGATACATCGCAATTCGATTACCCATTCGGTTACGCTTCGTTCCGCGCGTCCGTCGAAACTAGGTCTTGCCGCAGCCGTCGCACGTGTAGTGTCAGCCGGCGATTTTAACAAATATCGTAGTTGTAAGTGATGCATACGAATTGCGCTCGGTTCACGACAGTCAGCTTAAAGTGAAGATAACACGGACTAGTGTAAACCCTTCGCTCCACTGACATTTAGTGGTACTGTTATGTCACCTCGAGACAACAGTGGGCTGCGCCGCGCGCGAAGTGGGCGGGGCCAGCCAGTTTCGACGGACACGCGGAACGGATGCTCTCCAACCCATTTCAAAGGGTGCAAGCTTATATCGAACGGATTTAACGGGAACCCTTGGGTATCAAAATTTTGTTTCGCGACTGCAAGTGAGATGGGGATGTTTATCTTATCGAATATTATCCGAGCATTGGAAAACTGCTCGTAATTCCGCAATGATGCGTAGTCGCCTATGACCACCTTCCTGTCTTCTATATAAACGTACTATTCNTCGGCATTGCACTACTACATATGAGGGCGCCCGCCCAGTGTTGTCATGGGGCGCCCCTGATTGTTTGAATTTTCAAGGTATATGCGCTCTTCTGAAAGTGCACCTTTAACAAAGCCGTCATAACATGGCCACCTTTCTATGTGCGCTTCGGCTGAGCCGGTCTTGGAGTCCTTCTTACGCTCTGTCTCGGCCGTTTGTTACTCCAACATTGTCCCATGTTCCTTACTTGGGGTCCAAAGTTTATCCTGGAGCAGCTTCAGAAGCCATTTATTTGAACTTTTGTAGGCATGGTTCATTATGGAAATGGTCTCCAAGATTTCCTACAGGGGCAAATCTCTGGCGCTTAAAGCTAGAATATGGGTCATTTTCGGGTGGAAAAATGACCTAGGATGGATGCAATAAGGGCTGCAATAGGATGCAATAAGAGCTGAAAGACCGTCTTCATTGCATTCCACTCCCAGAAGAAGTCATGTTTGAGGGGAAATAGTGTCAAACAACCGATCGCCCCAGGCTCACAGCCATAATGGAAAACAATATGCCTTCACGTAATTGAACACGACGGGAACCACACGCTCTGCCAAGGTACCACTTTCATATTGAGGTGGTGCAACTCCCCTTTCTTGGATAGTTTTGAAAACCTTGATATTTTGTTACGAAAGTCTACGGATTTTCGCGCTTCCGTCGATACCGATGCATTCTTTTTGATTTCATTCGCGCCAACGCTTTCGTTCACTTTGAAAAAAATACATCCGAATCATCAGCAGTTTTGTTTTCATTGAGGGGCTCGGTAGGCGTGCAGTTAGAACTAGTTCTGTCATGAACTTTTAAACTATAAAAAATTTGATGGATATTCACGTAATGCAAGTTTAAGGAGTTGAGAACTGGGGAATTCCTGGTGCAGCTTACAACGAGAAAGCGGATAAGCGGTCATGGACAGCCATGCAAACATTCCTCGCCGAAAAACTCCTATGAAGCTTCTTTGGAAGTGAATTCTTCATCAAGTTTCCGTCATTCTTCTGAGCATTAATTTACATGAGTCATTTTCTTTGTGGTCAATAAATGATTTCGATGCCTTCTAATGTATTTCTGCTAAGAAATCTATTCTCTTCCACGAGAGAGGTCTAAATGGATGCATCTAACTCACGCGTAAATATACGTCACTACTGATCCGAAGAAAGCGCTCCATTAATAGTCTAAAAAACACGAACGCTTGTGAATGAAACGAACTGGTTTTAAGGTGATTCCCTTAACCATTTCGAAATATTATTATGAACTGACCGAACAGTAAAGTATTGGGTTGTCCGAAAAGTTTCCGCCGATTTTGAACACCCTCGGTTCATCAACTGTTGTACAAAAGATCAAGGGCCCAACCTTATAAAGTTATATGTTTTCTGGAGGAGTAAGACCTCTTCTATATTTCTGTTAGGATTCTGTCATTATTTGTCAAAGTTTTTCTGTACAGGACTCGTGTGAAAATGGAGAACAACTGCGTGCATTTTCGGCATTTGAAGCTTTTCTTCTACCGCGAGGCCTAGAATGCGGCTCACGCCGCGAGAAAGATTTATGACGTTCGAGTAGACATTGCTCTAGAGGAACGTACAGTCGGATCGGTTTGCCAAATCCGAACAGAGTGAATTCGCCCTCGAAGACCGGCAACCTTCAGAGGAGGCTATCATCAATTAAAACGACCACTTCAAGGTGTTAACGGAAGTGAATCGGCACGGCACTTCCCGCAGAGTATGACAAAGGCTGAATGTTTCGAAATCAACCATCCATGATCATGTGCTGGACCTTGATTTGTGAAGTGCCTTGATGTTGGAATACCTCACGAAATGAGCCAGTTCAATAAAACGGACCTTCATGTGCGACTCCTTGCTCAAACGAAATAAAAATGAGCTGTTTCTGAAACGCATAAAAACGGAGGACGAAAAGTGGATCGTGTACAACAACGAGCAGTGGAAACGATCGTGGAGCCTTCCTAGTGAGTCGTCACAAACCACTGCAAAAGTCAAAATCCAAGTGCGGAAGATTATGCTGTGCCGCTGGTGGGATTGCAGGGAAATCACTTGACATCAGCTGTTGTCGCGTAAATAAACGATAGCTTCTGAAAGCTGTTATATTTAGCTTGACCATTCGGAGCCAGCGATAGACCAGAAGCTACCCGAACTGGCTAATCGTAAGGATACCTGCAGACTACGTTACTACATTTTTGGCCACTCGTCAAAAATTGCTGGAGCTTGGGTGGGATGTCTTGTCACACCCCCCATATAGTTGGGAATTAACACTATCAAAACACCACTTGTTCAGGCTTCTGCAGAATTCTTTGTATGGAAAATCGTCAATGTGGAGGACTGCAGAAAGCACCTGAGAGGGTTTTTCGATTTTAAGTCTGAAACCTTCTATGAAAGTGGGATTCTGAAACTTACAAGAATATGGCGAATCCCTACTGAACAGAATATAGGATATATCGTTTGAACGACGGATTTCTTCTTCTGGGAATTTTCACTAAAGGTGAATCAAAAATCAGCGGGGACTTTTCGGACAACCCAATATTATTCTGGGTCATGAATCCGTGGCACTCTAGCATCGCGTTCATTGATCTTCTGGTCACGATGTTACTATTGCTTCGCTTTATTAGAACAGAAAAACGATATTCACCTGTTCCGGTCTCGAGTAAGCGATAGATGGATGTTGCAGGAGTCCACATTTGTGTATAGGGTATGAAACACAGCTAACTGCTATTTGATAGATTAACTGTTAGCGGAAGTGTTCCCTATCTACTTGAAAACGAACAAGTAAAACAATACGGGGCGGCTAGGAGTGAAGGCGAAATGAGAGGTTCGGGGAGACGATCAGGTGAGGAAGGATGGGAGCACTCCAATGTGCCTGAAAGAGAGAAGCGCCGGTTTCAGCCTTGAATGAAGCGTGGAAACGATTTCGATTAATAATAATGTATTTTCCATAAAACCCCAAAAGCACCGATAGTGTCAGGGTATATACACGCTAAGGAGGCTTTAGAACTGGGATCATGCTTTGGCGAAAACAGACGAAAGCATATACTCCTCTGATGACCATCCTACTATATATAACACCCTAATATCCGCTTGTTATTGTGTGTGTACGCGTTAGTGTACGCGTGTATGTATGTATGTATGTATGTATGTATGTATGTATGTATGTATGTATGTATGTATGTATGTACATACATACACTCCTCTCTTCTCACAGCTGATTATCAGTCGTTATCAGTTATTCCTAGTTCCCGTCACCGACCCCATCACATCTTACATGACCTATTGAAATACCAAGACTCCACACAGGAAGTGCGCTACAGATCTAGTGGCTCTCGCCTTCTATGGCTTCTTATCAGTCCCTATCACTTGGTATCATTCCTTGTCACCAACCATGAACGATCCCTTCACATACTCCATCACCTGCCA